CAAAGCTCGTATCTTCGAATCCGATGGCCTGATCCCTTTATCGCTGATTCTGTGTCCAAGAACTCGGTGACTCTAAACTGACATTTTTCCCAATTGAGGGCGACATTGCGACTTTTGAAACGGGACAACACCTGAAACAGTACATTTATCTAGCAATGAATCATCACATACAAAATAAAATAACACAAATTCGATGTTATTTCATTCACTTTTATTATCAAAACAAAACTTGTTACATTACCTCATTTAGGCGAACATCATGTTCCTCCATATCTTTGCCTTCGATGATGACGTCGTCGAGGTACCAAGCTACTCCCTCGCATCCTGACAAAATCTCATCCATCGCTTTTTGAAAGAGCTCCGGAGCCGTCACCAACCCAAATGGCAACCGTTTGAACCGGAACAATCCTCGTCCTGTGATGAAGGTGGTAACATCTTTGGATTCATCATCGAGTTTGATTTGCAAGAAGGCCTCTTTGATGTCATGCTTGCTCCAGACCATACCTCTACCAAGTCGCGCAATGTGGTCATCCACCACCGGCATAGGATGATGCTCTCTTAAGACCGCTTCGTTTACACGACGAAGGTCAAGGCATAATCGTACTTCACCGTTTGTCTTCCCTACCACAACTAGCGGCGATACCCAGCTTGGCGGCCCTGTTTTCGGCTCAATAATGTCACGCTGAAGTAACTCGTCCAACTTTTTGTTGACAGCTGTTTCCAGAGGCAAAGGCAGTCGGCGCATGGTCTACCAGCATTTCCAATTCAACGCCACCGATGTCGCACGTCACAACGTTGCTTTCGTTGCCCGATTAGAAAGCATAGTATACTTTGTCCTGTCCAATCTTCGCCTTGACATTACTACTGTCCTCACAAGTTGGTTGCTCATTCTTTACCGCTCGAATCTGCTTGCCACCTTGATCCGGAAGTGGTCGTTGCTTCTGTTTGCGGCACAGTCGTTCAAAGTGTCCATAAATCTGACAATTTCTACACTGTTTGCCACGAGCTGGGCACGCTTGCGACGCGGCCACATGACCTACACGACCACAGTTATAGCACGCATTATCCCGCATTGGCTTGAATTTCACCGACGAATCTTTAGACCTCGTGAATTGTTCTTGTTTTGTCTGACCCACTCGACAAATCTTCTGAGGGGGCTCGTTCGTATTCATTTCTTCGATTTGTTGATCCACGCCTTCCAACGAGATTCCGAGAGCTTCAATATCGGCGAAAAGTAGATCCTTAAGCAAAATTCTTCGTCTTACTTCGTTCGAACTGCATCCCTCCACCACAGCATCTGTTAAGTAGATCTCCGTCAAAATCGCTTCAATCTCCCTTCCATATCGTTCGAAACCGCATTCAGAAACTTGCTGCTTCAACCGAATGATGAAATCGGCAAATCTCTCACCGGATTTTTGTCTTAGCTGTCGTAGCTTGCGGCGCTCCGACGTCGTTTGGTGACGAGGCTCAAAAAACTCGTCGAGCTTTTCGAATGCTACATCGTACCATTTCGGAACGAGCGAGACTATCGGCATCTGGTCACGATCCTTCAAATTCTTGAAAACGGTTTGTAACGCTGGTCCGCCTAGATGCAGTAACTTAGCCCTCATCATTTGCTGGTCCGTAATACCATACGCTGCGAAATAGCATTCAAGCGATTCTTTCCAGGATCTCCATTCTTTTGCAAACTTGCTTGTTTCAATCTGGTTGCATCTGAAAGGTGGTACCGGACGTGATTCTTTCATCTGAAATGGAAACAAACACAAAATTTCACTTAGCGTCTCTGCACAATGTCTACGCACCGATTTCTTCTTTTTTTTTCAAAAAAAAAACACTGCTCCTCTCAACTCACTACTACCTCAAGCTCTGTTTCCATTGAAAATCTCTCCCAATTTCAATATGCATGGAAAATTCACATAATTTTCGCATTCTGATCTCACAAGGGAAAATCCTCTCGATTTTCGCCACTCCAAAGTTAACCTCTTCAGTTTTAACCTTCACGTGGAAAATCCCTCAGATTTTCGCCTATTTTCCAACAAACCTACATAAATTCTGGCGTTACATGGAAAACCCTTACTGGTTTTCGCAAAATTTCAGGGAAATCCTACTAATTTCCGCTATCCTCCGATTCAATAACATTTTTTTTTTCTGACCATTTCTCAACCATGGTGCTGCGAGGCATTTTGTCAAACAGTGTGATGTCAGCTTAAGAGTTATACTTTTTACTGTCAAGGCGAACGTTGCGAACGAAAATTAAGTCCACGCACGATCCACCAACACTAGTTGCCTCCGAAGAATTTGAAGCCATATCCAGGTGCAAATATTTCTTCATGAACTCGACGAACTTCAAGTTCCCTTCGTTCATGAGGTCCATGTTAAAATTACCCAGCACAATCATATCACATCATTAGTAGTTGTTTGCCATGGCTCTACCTCTCACTGCTTGATAAAACGTTCTGTCAGCGATAGAATTGGGCGATCTTCAGAGAAAGATCGATCTTGACGGATCGATCTTATATTTGGCTCTAGAATCGATCCACTGATTAAATCGGTACCAAAGAATCGATCTTTGGTAGATCGATACTATGGTTTTAAAGTGATTTTAAGTGACCTTTCTGACGTTTATAACTCGCACACTTTCGTAATCCCATTTTTTCAAGTGCTTAGTTTGCTATCCTCACTTTCGCTCTGGCCAAACATATTGGTTTGTTATTGTTATCCTCACTTTCGGACGATCAATAATCTTGTTTACGTTGGTACCCCAAGAAATTATGTCGTTTATAATATTCAATTAAATGTTGTCGTGACGGTAAGGAGCAATGAGCACAAGAGAGAGGTAGTTAAAATCGTCAAATGTTGTGTTCATTTAATTTACCACGCAGTATGGGGTGAGAGTAAAGGCTCGAGTAAAGATCCAAGCGCAATAACAGCGGAAGCGGAACGGCAGCGGCAGCGGAAAAGCCCGATCTGAGTAAGTCGGATTGAAAACTAGTTAGAACAAAATCGACTTCGGTTAGGCACCTTGATGTCATTTTTGACAACTGTCAAACTTTCCGTTTCCGTTCCGCTTCCGCCCACATTGCGTTTGGGCCTTAACTCGTTGACTCGTTAAGATCGAAAAGATCGGAAGAAGAGATCGATTTTTTCGATCTTTTCGTGGACAAAGAATCGATCCAAAAAATCGGAAATCGGATTTTCCAAAGATCGATCCAAGATCGCCCAATCCTAGTCAGCGATAGTCGGTTGATGCCTTGATGCGTTGACGAGTGTCGTGTCGAGTGAGTGTCATGATATTTTCCATCTCTGCACAGAAGCCTGGAGTTGGCTACGAAGAAGTCTATGCTCCGTTTGGTATCTGATGGCGGTGGCGACGAAATTTGACTTGGATGTGAACCAAATGTACGTGGTTACCGCATTTTTGCAAGGCGAGCTAGGTGACGAGCAACTTTTCATGGACCAGCCTGAAGGAATTCGTGGTTTCCAACGTCAAAGCTTGCAAGTTGCAGAAGGCAGTAGCAGTCGAGCCGGGTGTGGAATGCTAAGTTGAATTTAGCCTGCAACTGCCTATACTGGGTGGTGCTGGACGGAGATAAGATGCTTTTCGTGACAATATATGTAGACGACCTGCTTATGTTTACGAACGACTGCCGATTAAAGAAGAAGCTGAAAGAGTTCTTAATGTGGAGGTTCAAAATAAAGGACTTGGGTACGGCCTCACCTTAGCACATCCAGACCATGCTGGAGGTGGCTGGCTGGTTCGATTCTCGGTCTGGTCTAGGAATGTTTCGGGTTGGAAAATTTCTCGACTTCCTGGGCATAGAGTATGATTGTACTTGCTAATGCTCAATTAATAACTGTGGAAGTGGATCTAGAACATTAAGCTGAGAGCACACAACAAGCTTATATGCTATAAGAAATAAACTTGAAATGCGAAGAAGAAAGAAGAAGATGTTCTGGCCATATATGCCCGGAACCAGCTCACGAAAAATATTCAAAAGTTCTATGAGTCCATAGTACCTTGTCCCACCTACATCTTTGAAGAAGGACGCGCCTCTTCTGCAACACCCTATAACGCTAGTGCGTACTGAATAACTCCCAGTTGACGACGACAGATCATTAAACATGCATTCTTCTAAGTGCTTTTTTGCAACCTTGTTATCTGTTATTCCTTACAGTCGTCATACTTTTTTACATTGTTCAATCACAGCAATTAAACTTGTCAATCGTGCAACAGAAACAATTTTCTAATCAAGCGCAACTGTCAAAATTACACTTCTCACCTGAGGCATGCTCATAATTTCGCGCAGACGCCAAACGATTTCGACTGTTGATCGATTATGAATGATAATTCCCAATTCTCCAATTTCCCATCTCCTGCAGACAACCGTGCAGTGTAGGTAAATGCAACAGCCCCAAACACCCAGCCGGTGGCGGCATAATGCACCCCATCATTGCATAATTGAGCAAGTACATACCGTCGTCTCTCGCTCGGCTTCATTCGCCTCCAAAGGCCGGGCACGAACCAACCATCGAACGTCCCAACCAACATTGCTAAAAGGCATCCGGACAAGACAAAATGGGTGATTGCCGGAAGAACCGTTGCTTCATCATCTAGCATGCAGCACTCCCTTCTCGCCAGAAGGAATCTAGGTCATTTAGCATCACGCCGCAGCAGTCCAACACCACTCACAGAGCAGAGACGACGGCGGAAATGAGCCCCCAGCCCCACTCCGGTTGAACAGTAGGCATTTATAATCATATTGATGGGACTGCTGGGACTGGGAGGGTGACTTTTCATCTCCCTACCATGTGACCGTTTTTCCAAAGGTTTACTGTATATAATTTTGAAACTGTTCTGGAATTGAACAATTATCAAATGACTAACTACTACTAGTTTAGTAACCGAAGTTAAGTAATCGATTTCATTAATTAATTGACTGACTTATTCCCGTAACCGTAAAAGTGATGGAGAAAGTTCTTTCAAAAAACGACGAACCCCGTTCACAGTTTTCCTCTACGTTTATTAGTCGGCACAATTCGATTTAAATTAAAAATTAATATTCTCTATTGGCTAAAAGAAGAAAAAAAGAAAGAAAGAAGAATAAAGTTAAGGTTAGGTGCAAAATAGCATACATCGATTGGGATCTCTAGTGCACCGAATCGCTGGACAAGTCGATTCGGATGTCAATGTCGAACTCCGGCTCGTAGAGTTCACTCTGCTTTTCCGACTTCTTGGCGTTGGAGTTGGTCGTCGTCGTCGTCTTGCTGTTCGGCTGCGTGTACCGGAATCGGCTGGCTCCGTTCACGATGGCAGGTTGCTGTCCGAGAGCTAGAAAGCTGGGGTCCGTTATCTTACTCGTGGACTGCAGAACGGACGGAGCAACATAAGGTCGTTTGGTCGTGGTTAGGGCAGGTGCAATGTAGGGTCGTCGCTGGTGTGACGATTTGGTCGGTCTCGGTTGGATGTAGAGCTTGGAGGCTGGTGTCGAAGTGGTCAGCGTTGGTGCGACGTACGGTCGGCGTGTTGTAGTAGTAATCAAATCGTCAGCGTATGGTTTCTCAACCAGAGCAGGTTGCGGCCTTTGCTTACTCGATGAGGGATGTGAACTGAAGTACGAATATCCACCGGAAATGAAGTGGAAACCGGGGACGTTCAGTGGGCTGCTACCGTTCGCCAGAAAGTGGAATTGGGGAGACGAGTGACTAGAGCCAGTAGATGGCCTCACCGGAGTTTCATCCGATTCGGATGATGACTCGTAGCTATTGTATTTGTGAGCGCGGTGTCCATTGACCGGCTGAAGTCTTTGTATGGGACTGAAAGTTCCGAAAATGGGTTTAGTCTTGGTCAGCGTGGACGTTGGTATGGCAGGTCGGCGTTTGGCGTGGCGCTCTTCGTCATAGTCACTACTGCTATTGTGTTTGTTGTCGTCGTCGTCGTCATCCTCATTGTCCACGTACGAGTGTCGGACTTTTTCGTGACTTTCGAAGATCGGAATCGAATTCTGCTGTTTGAAAGCACTGTTGGAGTAGCTGGATGGTGCGGCCTGGAATTCATTGTTCGGATGGGTCTGCTCGTGGACCTCCGTGGCAAAGTACTTGTTGAAGTAGGGCTGTTTGAAGGGTTGCTTGTAAGGCCGCTTACTTATCAGTGGCTGCTGATGTTGGTTGAGATTGTGATTACGCTGAAGCTGCTGCTGCTGCTGTTGATGTTGATGTTGCTGCTGCAGCGGCTGCAGGTGATGAAATTTGGTTTTTTCAAATCGTGGCGCTGAACCGTCGTGGTAACTGGTGAGAAATAGGAAAATAGTGACGATTAGACATGCGAGGATAGTTTCGAGTTTTGATGTAGATTATTGTACGTGTCCGCGGTAGCGAAACGAAGGACACTGGGTTGGAATAGTGATGCTACCATAAATGGCGATGCATATGTTTGCCGCCTCCTCTCTTGCAGCGTATCTTACTATACCCAATACATGGCCTGTTTTAATTTATGATTCAACCCCCCATCCTCTTTCAAATCGAAGACAACAAATCAAGAAGACTGGCAACTCTGCCATTTTCTCATACGAACGCTATGAGACTGGTACAATCACGTCATTGATAGAAAAGATTACATCCTCAGAAGAATGGTTTGTGCACATACAAACAGACAGAACACTCATAAGTTGTTCATCGAACAAGCATTTAACGGTCAATTCGAAAGTATCTCAGTTGGTAGTGCTGCCACCTGTGGCGCGCATTGTAAATTCCCTTGCGTTTGATGTTTACACACTACCGCCATCTGTTCAGCGTACTACCCACCACAGTGTACTCAACAGATGGCGGTAATGATTTAACGACGATGTTTTACAATGAGAAATATTCAATTTGTTATGTCTGTTTGTCTGTGGTTTGTGTATTTGCTCATTTTTCTATGCGTTGCTTCCACCTTCACTCAAGCGTAGCGCAATTGTATCTGTCGCTTGGATTCTGGCAAAGTTGCCAGTCTTCTTGATATGATGTCTTCGCTCAAATACTACGGCATTTAAGCATTTTTCCCAAAGAACATTCTTTGAAGAGGCTGAAATTTGAAAGCTTTTCGAACCATACGACAAAATCACTGTTATTACCAGGGCGTCACATTATCAGCTTCAATCGACCAAACCGACGCGACGAAGAGACTGCTGGCTTTCCTTTTCTGTTAAAGGCCTGTATAGAGATCGAAGCGAAGCAAAAATCTCATACAAAATACTAGATTTTTCACCTGCAAACGCAATTGGCAAATTTGTCACTTTGCTTTGAACTGTAAACAGATACGATGCAGCGAAATCTATTTTTGTGGATCGCATCTTTTTCGCTTACGTTTTTTTTTTCGCACATGCAGTGCTCGCGAAAAGAGCAGCAGCTAAGCGAACAGTTGACGTTTAGAGAAAGAGCGTATTTGTCAGATTTTCACTTCACCGGAGGTGTAAACTGATCGTTCCAGGACCGCAGCAAACAAGTATATACAGCTAGTAGAAGCAGAGTATAATAGTTTGCAGGAAGCTCGCTTTCGTGAGTACGTCGACAACCTCCAGAGGTGTTTCAAGGAAAATCCATCGTCGTTCTGGTCTTTTATCAACTCTCGGAAAAGATCAGCTGGTATTCCCATGGACGTCACCTACGGTAGTAGAAGCTCCACCACCGACATCACTTCTGATGACCTTTTCGCTGACTTTTTCCGAAGTGTTTTCGAACCCGATCAAACTCCTCCACCGCAGCAATACATTGATCAGCTACCAAGATACGACATTCACCTGCAGCAGCTCATCTTCAGTCAAGACGCTATTCTCAAAGCCCTTTGCTCAGTCGATCCATCGAAAGGTCCAGGCCCGGACCTTATTCCACCGTCTTTCGTCAAGAACTGTGCCACTCCCCTTATGCCTATTTTTAAAAGCTCGCCTCAATTATACCAATCTTCAAGTCCGGTAACATGCACAAAGTGGAAAATTACCGACCTATCTCGATCCTGAACTGCTTTTCCAAAGTTCTCGAAAGTCTTCTGCATGAGAAGTTGTATCCAGCTGGTCAACCCATAATCTCAGAGTTTCTGCATGGATTCATGAAAAAGCGCTCGACCGTCTCTAACTTGATGACTTACACGAACACTCTTATAGGTAGCATCGAGAAGCGTCAGCACGTAGACTCCGTTTACATCGACTTCTCTAAGGCTTTTGACAAAGTCCCTCACGACCTAGCCATTATGAAGCTAAACCGCCTTGGTCTTCCACCGTGGATCGTTTGTTGGTTGAAATCATGCTTATCATCCAGGAAGGCTTTCGTTAAGGTACGTGATTCCAGATCCGAGGTATTCCATATACCATCGGGGGTTGCACAAGGGAGTCACCTGGGACCTCTCATTTTCATTCTGTTTATTAACGACGTGTGTGATAGGCTAAGTTCCTGTAAGTTGCTATATGCGGATGATCGTAGATTGTTGCGCACTACAAGCTGATATAGAGCGATTGTCATCCTGGTGTCAGATGAATGGAATGCAAGCCAATGCTGCCAAATGCAAAGTGATTACCCTTACCCGCTCTCACTCTCCGATCATTTTTGATTACTCTATGAATCAATCGCCGCTGGATAGGGTTAATGCCATTAAGGATCTTGGGCTCATCTTGGACAGCAAACTACGGTTTAACCAGCACATATCCATGACAGTTGCAAAGGCCAACTCCATGCTAGGATTTTTGCGCCGCAATACTGCACAATTCGACGACGTGTACGCCCTGAAAGCGCTGTACTGCTCTATGGTCCGCAGTGTTCTTGAATATGGAGTACAAAAATTGGGCTCCATATCATGCTGTTCATGTACTGCGCATCGAGAGAATCCAGAACCAGTTTATAAAGTTTGCATTACGACGTCTGCCATGGACAAATCCAGATAGTTTACCTCCGTACGAGCATAGATGTGCGCTTATTGGACTGCAAACACTAACAAATCGCCGAGTCTTTCTCCAGAGGATGTTCATATTTGACATGATTAGTAGTCATATTGACTGCAGTTGTTTGCTCGGGAACATCAATTTCCACAATCCAGCTCGCCGTCTCCGCAACTATTATTTCTGTGGACTCCCGGACATCGTACTGCTTACGGTTATAACATTCCTCTCGATAGATGTTGCAGACTGTTTAATGATGTGTGTGATGTTTTTGATTTTAATAAAAGTAGACCAGTTTTTAAGAATAGGATCACTTTAATCAGTCTTTATGGCTAAAATGTCAAAGATGGTGGTTAAATAAAAAAATAAATAAATAAACTGATCGATTCCGTTTCACATCGAGTTAAGCGATACAAACTATTGCTCTTCTATCCTTGTATGTGATACAAAAACACCCATCCAAATTTACTTTCATCGTAGGTCAAACATTGTTCAATGTGCAGTTTGAAATGATGGCTACATGATTGTTACTTCGGTCATTCGGACTGCCTAACGTGATTGGTGCATATTTTCTAAAGGCGGGGCCAATCTAAAGTTAAATATTCTACTCTGAAATCTGTGAAAGGGAATCTAGCATCATGTAGACAAAACGTCCAATGTAACACTCATTGATTATGTCATTGAGAAAAATCGCCCAATGTAACATGTCCGATGTACAACATGACTTGTCAAAACGTCCTATGTGGTTTTATCTATATTGTAGTATGAAATTTAAAGTAAAATTGTGATTTTACCGTTTCTACTGAATTTTCAACGTTATTATTCAATGACTACATTAAACATAGTATTGCAAAATGTATTGTTTCGAAACAGTTAAAATAATAATCTGTCGAGCTTCAACTTCGATTTTCTCAAAATGGTGGATATGTTACATTGGTCTATTTGAAAAGTGACGCGAGAAATGTTCAATCGCTTGTCTCTCTTTCTCCCGTCGCTCCATTGGTCTTTCTTTCAAGCTTCAGTGAAAGAGCGCTCGACTTTGATAGTTTCGTATTTTATGAAACACATCAACAGAGGTTTCATGACGTATATGACGGAAAATGAAAATTTATATTCAAAGCTGGGGGTGCGACATATCTAAATATAAATTTTAGATGGTCCAAAAATCTCACGTTAGCGAATCAACATACGAAAAAAATTTTCGTCTCTTACATCTAAATCCATCTACTCGCACCGGTTTCCATTTTCTTCAAAATCTCCATCAACCTTTTTTCTATCTACTAAGCGTGCGCGCATCTCACAACAGCAAAGTCAAAGTTTTCCTACATCTTAGATAGAGTCACTCCCCTCGATTCAAAGCATCGCTCACGTGATAAAACTTGAAGACTTGTGACTATGGCATGACCAAACCATCCCAGGTAACTAGCTCAGTAGCATGAGACCCCTGAACTATATCGCAGGGCCGGCATGTTACGGAAGGGCTACGCGGACAAAGTATGAAAACACATGTGGCGTGTGGGTGTGTGCGAGGGTTTAAAATTGGCACTGTACTCACTGCTGCAGCGAGACCTCCTACGGCGTCCCTACGCTGGCGTTGGCCCACACGGCTGCTCCTGTTCTACCGTGTGGTCGGAAACTTGCCGAAAACTATACAAGATCATATGGTCGGCGTTAAGTCATAAGGGCAGGGATGGAAAATCATTTAAATTCATTTCGTGCATTCATTTACATTCATTTGCCTCTTACTTTTTTCATCAACAGAATACCATAAAATAATGTATTAAGCTTTTGTAGCTTTTGATATGAACTACAACTTTTGCTAATAGCTAAAATCTTTATCTCTTATGCATGATGAAATAGAGCTGGCAGAACATGTTATTGTTTTTTAGTGAATGCAATTTACATTCACTGAAAAACAATACTGGGTTCTTATCGCTCTGATTAATCCTGCATAAGAGATACAGATTTGAGTTGTTTACAAAAGATGTAGCTAATATCAAAGTCTTCAACACCTTCAAACACTATTTTATGGAATTCTGTTGATGAGAAAAGTCTCTGGAGTTTATGAAACTCATATATGTTTTCTTAAAGAGTATGAAGATTGTAGTTTGATTAACCTTGAGTTAAGTTTGTATTGTGTGTGTGTGTGTGTGTGTTTTTTCCTAAAAGCTTAAAGAAGCCTGCAGTGAAGCTGCCACCGTTTGGTATCCACTAGTTGCCTAGTGCAACTCGACTAAAACCCATTCCTCACTCTCCCTCTGTCTGGATCTCCCGGGACTACTGTGAAGCGACTACTTCGGGGGGTAGCTGTGCTCATGCACTTCTGATATTCTCAGCGCTAGCTGGCGTTGCTAGATCGCTGCTCTTCTCTCAATTTACGCTACAGCTCCGACATAATCTGCGTGACTGCTCTGTTGATGGCACTCCAAGTACCCTCCTCTCGACACATTTCAACGACGACATTCTCCACGTTAAGGACGGGCATCTCCCTTCGCAGTGCCTCGAACCTTGGACAATCGAAGACCACATGCTCCAGCGTTTCATCGTTGTTGCCACACTCCGGACAGAGGGGTCACGCTGTGTGTCCGAACCGATGCAGGTATTTCCTGAAGCAGCCGTGGTTAGACAGGAACTGCGTTAGGTGGAAGTTGACTTCTCCGTGTTTTCTGTTCATCCACGTCGAAAGAATCGGTATTAGTCGATGTGTCCATACACCGTTCTCCACCGTGTTCCACTCCTGTTGCCACTTAGCCAACGATTCCGCTCTCATAACTTCCTGTACTCTTTTGGCTTCTCTCCGCCTGTAGCACTCGCTGTCCTCCGCCAGGGTGATGGTGGTAGGGATCATACCGGCGATAACGCATACTACTTCCGACGAGATGGTTCTGTACGCACTCACGACTCGCATGGCCATGAGCCGGAACGTACTGCTCAGTTTCCTTTGGTTCTGCTTCGTTTCCAGCGCTGAAACCCAGGCTGGACCTCCATACCTCAGTATCGAAGACGACACACTGGCCAGAAGACGCCTCTTGCTACTGCTGGGACAAGGCATGATTCTAGCTATCGGCATATTCGACGTGGCTCTTGAAGTTTAGCCAGTCATCGGCTATGGCGTGCTCCCCGGCGGTGATTTCTGACCGCTGTACCGCTTTACATTTACTGACCAATAACACTTCCATTTTGTGGTGGGCTATCTGCAGCTTCGCTCCTTGCATCCAGCTACCAATCATGTCGATCGCCTCGGTTGACAACACGTCCACCTCTTCCAGTGTCTCGCCTACTACCATCAAGACGACGTCGTCTGCAAAGCCAACGATCTCAACTCCTTTGGTAGCTTCATCGTTAGCACGCCGTTGTACATCCCGTTCCAGAGCGTTGGACCAAGGATGGAGCCTTGTGGAACTCCCGCTGTGATCCTAATCTATCTCTGTCCCATGTCAGTCCAGAACCAGGTTCTGGAAATATCTCTTCAGGATCCTGCGCAGGTAATCAGGGACTCTCATTTTATGCAGCGCTTCGGCGATGGCCTCCCAGCTGGTGCTGTTGAACGCATTCTTGACATCGATCGTTATAACGGCGCAATATCGATCTCCTCTCCGCTTCTGTTTGGACGCCTTCTTGGCTCTCTCGACCACTGTCCGAATTGCATCCACCGTCGATCTCCCGTTCCAGAATCTGAACTACCTCTCCGACAATCCGTGCTCACTCTCCGTGCATTTCGTCAGCCTGTTCAGGATGATCTTCTCCAATAGTTTTCCGAGTGTATCCAGCAGGCATATAGGCCTATACGATGCTGGATCCCCCGGTGGTTTTCCTGGTTTCGGCAGCAACACTAGCTTCTGCATCTTTCACCTGTCAGGAAAGTGACCCTCGTCCATGTATTTCTGCAGCACCATCCTGAATATGTCCGGGGACGCCTGGATCGTCACTTTCAACGCTACGTTGGAGATTCCATCCGGACCGGGAGCTTTCTTCAGCTTCAATCATTTCGCCACTGCTACGAGTTTCTCGTTGGTGACTTCGGTGTTATCTCCCTCTCCTTCCTCCTTCGTTTATCTCTGTCTACTTCTGTTCTTGCTCTCTGGACACATCTACTGGCTCTGAGACAACTAGCGCGGAGGGTGCTAATTGCCTCGTTCCACCAGTTTCAGCTTCAGTTTCATCGGCATGGTCGTGTCACATGCTCTCACTAACATTTCTGTCAGCTCGTCCGCGTTCAGAACCACGGAGCTCCTGCCCACACTAAGTGCCTCAACGAACAGATCCTTGTCGAAAGCCTTCGTTTTCCACTTCCGGTCACAAGTTCTTACCCTCCATACTACCACAGTATTCCGTTGGCCGATGCCATATCGGATCGCCTGATTGTCGGTATGGGTATAACCTTCGCACAATATCCAATCCATGCTAAATCTGAGTTATTTCGATGATGTAATAAATAATGCTCATGGATGAAGCAGTATGCAAAACAAAAATATATCATAGAGCAACGCATACATAGGTGACATTTTCATAAAAAAAAATGCTCCAAAAATGTATGTTTTGCAAAGCTAGTATCTTCAGAAGAGTTCCTCAAAATGTAATTCTAAAGACATGCCAAAGACCATTTCTCTATAATGCTGTATTAATCCAATTATTAGTAGCACTGCCCTAGCGGCAGAATTCCTTACTTATTTGATTTCACAATATGAAGGTCCAGATGCTAAGGATCAACTTTGTTGAAGACTCGAAGCTTCCAGTATGTATCATTGATGAGCTATTGATTTATACTGCGTTTATACGACCATGGTGGCCTTACGTCTCTTAGGCACATCGTAGCGAATTATTATGTCCCATTCGCGATGAATAATGAACCAAACATTTTACATCTTTATGAAAATAAAGGTATGCGAAGAACAACGAGGAGTACTCATCTTGCGAGGAACGATGAAGTGCCGAAGAGCAAGAGGCACGAATATTTGCGTGTTGTATCGACACTCATATTCCTCTCAAGCAGGTCACTCATCATGATTTACTTTTACGCTGGTATCCTCTTTATTCAAGAGGGTTTGTGGGATACCAATGCTTTGAAGACCTTCGCACGCGATGAGCGAATGCGGGGAAAATGATGCGAATATCAGTAGTCTCCGATTTGTATAAACCTGAATAAAGTTCTATGAGAAACAGATCCATATCGGTTAAATCATCTCAGCACTTACGTTACACACACATACCCAAAAACGCATACACACATACAGTAATTTCCCGATCTCATTGAGCTGAGTAGATTTGTATACCAAAGTAACCAACAAGCCCGCTACTTCTCTGCGACACGGAAAATGTTTTTTTCATGTGATATTATTGCCTTCCTGTACATATTTCGGTACACCTAGGTATAAGAGAATTGCAACAAAAACTGAAATCGTTTGTTTTAAAATGCAACCACCAATCTCCCATTTCAACCCAGTGCCCACTCGAAGCGCAATGTCGCGTGTGAACGGCGAATCGTTTCCATTTCCTCATTTTTAAGCTTTGTTAAGCAGAACCGTACCCTGGAGAATCACATCGAAGACCCAATCCAAAGCTTAAAACTACCACTCATTCTAGGTGTAGGTTTATACTCACTGATAATCGTATTCATGACCATCTGCAGTTTTGATGTAGTCAACGCGGTGCTCCGTAACGCCATAGGATTTGACAAACTTTGCCAGGCAAAATATGTTCTGTGAGGGAGGAAGTAAGAGAAAATGTATCAAGTTGTGCTAGTCAGGAGTTCATTTGAATACAAGTGTAACTGAGAGATTGTGTAAGAGATATGGGAAATGATTCTCGTTGCTGCCGAGTGCCTGTCGTTGACGATGAATATTTAATTCCCATAGTCTGAGGATAAATATCGCATACATAAACTGAAATTGATGACAAAGGGGCTGACCGCAACAGTCATCAGCGCTGTAAACAAACAATAGCGAATGGATTACCTTAAGAGTTGCCATAAATTTCCGATTTTTATTAACGAAAAATCTGTAGGGTAAAGGTAAGGTTTAAAGTTGGTCACAACCGCTGATAAATAGCCCAAGCAAAACCACAGACAGTACGTCGGCTTAAAAAATGGCCATTATTTTTATTGCCTCTCCAGCTCGATAAAACTAGAAACGGATGAAATCTAAACAACTAAATATAAAAATAAAGTAAACTGCCATAGCAGCACAACTCAGAGGAAAGCTGTAGCCAACAAATCAATGTCAAGACCAACAGCTAGCATCAGTGCAGTGTGCGGGATGTTGACACTCGTATACGACCCAAATAGGCTTTGGACCAGCTATTTTCTGTTAAATGCGTTAAAAGCATTCATTGTAGACAGTAGGATGATAAAGCAATTACCAATTAGCCGGTCTTATTTCCAAACAGTAATGGGGAACGAAAAATCTGATTAAAATTCAGATCAGTGAACCACGGACCTCGACCGTCTGATGCCGGACTAGTAGATGGCATCGACGAAGACGATGACGCCGCCATTGAAGTAATCATCGCTCACCCTACCAACGGCGACGGAGACGATGTAGATTATTGCGATAATGACCAAGTATGAAGTGAGCAGCGGTCTTTGGAGCCTAAATGCAAATACGCCTACCAGCTGGACAGTAGTGCTGTGAAGATGAGAGTGATAAATTTTATGGTTCGAAAGACTTGCAGATGCTTACAGTTGGGCTGGACTGGATGGATGCAGATTTGGAGGTGATAGTGATGATTAAGGCTGTGAGAAATGCTTTGCGCGTTTGAAGACAGAAATGAAATTAAGAGCTTGAGCAGATTCATCGGATATTGTGTAAAATTTTCTCGCAAAAGTAGGGTGAATCTTACGTTGCAATATTTTTGCTTCATATCAGGTCAATTAACTCTAAAGCTGGGTTTAGACTTGGAAAGTCATTTTATCAACTCAGTTGAATTCAATTGGCTTGAAAAGTTGAGCCTGGTTCAACTTTTTTCAATTCAAGTGAGTTGATCAAGTCACTTGAATAGCATGGTTTACACGTTCAATTCGCGTTCAAGTCAGTTGAATTCAACTGACTTGATCAATTGACTTGCCCTGTTTAAACCCAGCTTAAGTGTCTCGGTATGTTGTATGAAAGGGGGATGCTACTCTCCAACTAGCAAAAATCTTGGTGTATTCAACTGACTTTTCAAAGCTTTTCAGTGCTTTACTAATCATTGCAATATTTTGCGCAGCTTAGAAAAACATAAGAAATTTTATTCCGTCTTTTCACTGTTCAACGGCTTTGTGCTCAAGTTATTGATGAAAGAGAATGTCGATGAAGAGAATCGATAAATTTTACTTAGGACCCAATGCAATGTTCAGCTTGATATCCAGAACAACATGTGAAAAGGGCATACAAGCTTTTTGTAAACAAACCTTTGTAGGCCCTTTTTTCACCAACCGAGGGTCGCCCACGCAAACCAGCAATATCATCGGGAAGGGGAAAGTGTCCCCTACCCGGTGATGTTAAAGGTTTGCGTTGGTATCATATGGGTTGTGAGAAAAGGGCATAAGAAGGTTTGTTTACAAAAAGCTTGTATGCCCTTTTCACATGTTGTTCTGGATATGTTAATCTCACCTTTTTTTCCTTAGGAATTTGACAGATTGTGGTGGTTTGTTTACGAAAAATCGTAAACAAACGAAAAATCGTAAACAAACCTTGAGACTGTCGAATTCGAAAAAAAAGTGAGGCGATTTCAACGGAGTTTACTGACGTTCCTGGCGATTTCAGATACTGCTTATGTAGTTTAAAGATGATTCCGATCGAGGGGCGACTCTATATACGATGCAGGAAAATTTGTGTTTTGCTGTGGTTATCTGCACGCACGCTGAGTAGATAGATAGTAGTAGAAGATTGATGAAGATTCTGAAAATTCCTGCAAAAAGATGATGCTGCTTGCATCCATTGAATGCGAGAAATTAAAGAAGATTTTTCGAAGATTGATTTGATGCGCATCTGGAATTGAGATTTAGATTTGTCGCACCCCTCGATTCCGACGAAGATGGTTTAATTATATTTTGAAATCTTCCACACGATTGCAACGTAGGAGGTTCCACACGATATCGGTGGAGATTTCAAATGCTGTCAATGAAATTTCCAGATGATTCTCAAGGAGGAGATTCCAGGTGATTCTGACATAGTTTCCAGCCAATTTATATTGTATATTTATTAATTATGGATCTAAAAGCTGCATTTGACACGGTGGACCAAAATATCTTGCTTGCCAAGCTCGAGACACTTGGCGTCTCATCAACGGCTGTGGATTGGTTCAGATCTTACTTGGTGAATCTCTATGTACGGATGAAGATTAGCGCGTCGGAATCGGATGTTTTCTCTAAGAACTCGGGAGTTCCGCAAGGCAGTAAACTAGGACCGTTACTGTTTTCGATCTTTTTAAACGACGTCGCCTTTCTGATACTATTAGGATCCCGCGTTTTCTATGCAGACGATACGAAAAGCTACAACATTATTAAAAGTCTCTCGGACTGTTGGCATCTCCAGAAAATGTTAGTTATATTTGCTGGCTGGTATTCAAGAAATTTGATGAGTCTAAGCATGAATGTGAATGTAACATTATTTCCTATCACCGAAAAATCGAACCAATTATGTTTGACTATGATCTCTACGGACGCTGTTTTGCTCGTGTAGAGCACAAAAAGGCTCCTGGCGTTACCTTGGGCTGCAGACACACTTTCAGAATCCACTGCAATTACATCATCTCCAGAGCTAATCGACAATTGGGCTTTATTTTCAAAATTGCCGACGAGTTCCGTGACCCGCTATACCTCAGGTCACTCTACTGCTCGCTTGTGCGATCCTTATTGGAGTCAAGTTTAGTTTTTTGGTGCCCTTTCCATGCTAGCTGGATTACTAGAATTGAATCCGTTCAACGCAAGTTTGCTCTTCGTATCCTCAACTGGCGTGACCCAACGAACTTGTCTCCGTACGAGGTGCGTTGCCGTCTCCTGGGAATCGAACCATTAGAGGTGAGACGGACGGTCGCTCAAGCTATGTTCGCTGGAAAGCTGTTTCCGGGTGACATTGACTGTCCAACACTGCTGTCTCAGCTAAATATGTATGCCCCTGAGAGGCCTCTTCGTCAGAGTGACTTACTGTTTTTGGAACCACAGCCCCGAAATTATATACAACACGAGCCAATTCGAGAAATCAGTCGGCAATTCAACAACTTTTTTGTATGTTCGACTTCAATGTATCTTCTGACGTGTTTAGTCATCGGTTACTTGGCCTTTTCCGTACCGTTGACCGTAACTATTTAGTTTAAGTTTAATGCATTTAGGCAATAATTGTCAGTTGAATTTTTCTGTGTACAAACAGTTATTGTGTTGTTTCGGAGGAGCTTGGAATAAACCCAAGATCTTCTATTCAGTAAACAAATACGGTAGCCGTCAAGCTAGCCAAGCTCCTCAATATTAATTCCAATCCTGTTTAAAATAAAATGTAAGCAGACAAAAAGGAAAGGTCACACCCGAATGATCCAATTTACTCCAGACATATGTTATAAAAACACTTGAAATGATATGCACTTTCGGGGGCCACTTGCCCAGTTTTGAGAACATCTCCAACGACAGTCGACAGCCGTGAACATTAATACGCACGGAGAGCCCCGCAGTTGTTTGACTTTTTGTCGAGTGAGTGAACTCAAATCCATCCGTGCACTCGTCAATTCAAAACAAAAAATGTATGGGCGGATTTGGACAGTTTTTGACCTGCTTCATACGACCGGAAGGTGTATGCTGGTCACAAATGCCGTGCCAAACTGATTTCCTACTCAATTAATCAATCTTTGATGTGAATTTCGCTAATAAACACGAGGAGCATTTCTTATAGCAAAACTTGCCATAACAAAATGGGCATACTTCATTTTAGGAAACAAACTAACACTTCTTCCTACTGTGTCACTTTTCTATTTCCCGCCTAGCACCCGGGTGCTGGAATAGAGATTAGTGACGTTTAACGCACGCACACTAGCGGGAGCAACGCCGTGTAAAGTTGTTTATTATTTTCCTCTGGCTAACCTAAAAAATGTATGAAAGTAGATCTGTCAAAATGAGTTTGACATCGATTTGTTATGTATCTTCCTCGGATATTCACTAACTCACTCTCACATATCGCACCAATCTAACCGGACGTGAAAATCTCTATACGAATACAAAACAAAACTATAGTCTAAAATCCGGGAGGCAGAGCGCTACAAGAAAAAAAAAATCAGCAATCAAAGGAGGTAGAGAGCGAGCTACAAACGTCCGCACTTCGCTCGTCACGAAGCAAATCTTCACACCAACCAGCGTTGCCAGATTGTTTTAAAGTTTATCGGTATCGAAGGTATTAAAAATCGGTATTTATCGGTATTTACTATTTAATTAATTTTATATTTTTGCCGTTTTTGAAAGCAAAATTTTTAACGATGATGACGACTGGGATTTGAAGGGAATTGCTTTGTTTAATGGCTTTCTCAGTCTTAAAACACTCTTTAATTTTTTAATTTAATTTTTAAAATTATCGTTGTCCTCAAATGGTGATCGAAATTGGGACCAAGAAGTTTTTTCAATTAAATTTCATTAAATGAAACCAATGTTTGAATTAGCTTCTGAACGAAGCTGACAAAACAACGAAAGAAGCTATCCTGGATGAAGTTCGAGTAAAGTTCTAAGAAAAGTTTGAAAAAC